CGTTAGAGACTCTCCCTATAACCAGACATCCAGAAGCGCGCAGCAGGCAGGCCCGGGCCTTCCCTCTGGGGTCCCTCTGAAGCTACCTGCTTCCTTGACCTGTTGAGGTGTCAGAGGGGTTTTTCTGGGTTATCCCTTGCTGCTGCCTCTTTTGTTTGCACCCTGAATCCCGAACTTCTTTCCTGGCCATAACACACCAATTCTTTGAGTGACTATCGTACGTCGAGGGTGATGTGTGATTTGTCTGCCCTTCCTTCCCAGGGAAATCCCAGCAGAGTGAGCCTGCAGGACACTCAGTGGGCACCAGCTCTGGGCTGAGTCCCCTCAGGACCTCGGAAGGGGACAGACACAGTTTTATCTTGTTTTCAGTAGTACTGGGGGTTGAACTGAGGAGAGAGAGCAGCAGTTGTCCCTGGCTGCCTGTGCTTGGAGCCAGACAATACTGATGTTCAAACACCAGCTCTGTCGCTCAGTGAGTGTGGCCTCGGACAAGGTGCTTAGCCTCTCTGAGCCAGTTTTCTTCTCTGTGAATAGTCACAGTATGGCTACCTCCTGCATTCCCCCAGGCCCCAGGTTTCTTCCTTGTCCTCTTCCCCTTGGTTGAGACTGATGCTTCTTCAAGCCCTCAATCTTCCTTCCTGGGATGAGCTCCTGAGGTGGGAACTGTGTCTCTTTTGTTCTCTTAGGTCCCAGCACTGGGCTCAGCCCCTTCCCAGAGCAGATTCTCTAGCCCGGGCAGGCAGGTGGATGAAGTTCTGGTAGAGACACCAAGCTAGATGAGACCCAAGGAGAGATTTGGGGCAGGAATGGACACCAGCACTGGGTGGATTTGGAGTTGGGTCTTCAAAGCTTACCCTATGCTGCCATGCCTCAGGGCCGCACCTGCAGAGAGTAGATCCTGGGTTCAGATCCCGCCTCCATCTCCCACCAGGTGTAGCACTGGACATCTGACTTAATTACCTGAGCCTCAGTTCCCAAGTACAGAAAGTGGGGGGGCGTAAGTCTCTAAAGCAGAGGATGAGGAGGGCTTCAGCTGCTGAGACCCGTAGATGCCAGTAAGGCAAATCAGGGCAGGCCTGGCTGACAGTTCTTACCTAGGTCCAAGGCCTCTCCCTCCTCCTCCTGCTCACCTGAGAGGGGCAGGGGACAGAAGCCCACTGTCTCACCTCACAGAAGATGGGAAGCCAAGAGGTGTGGAGACACCAATCCTGCCTTCATAAGCTTAGGTTAGCCGGACTGTGCCAGCTGGTCAACCATGGAATTAAGAGGAGGCTGAACCAGTTTCCAGGGCTGTCTCTTCCCTGGGGTCCTATCTGCTCTCCCTCAAACCTCGCCTCTCCCTGCCACCGTCATCTCCACCTGGTCCTGGGCAGGACCCCTCAACACTGGTGGTTACTCGGGGGACTGTGGCAGAGCCACTTGGGCGACTTTTCTGCAGGTATCGCACCCTTCAGGGACACTCCCCGAGAGCCAGGCAGGACTCCAGGAGGAGCCTCTCACTAGAGCAGCTTCACCCTGTGCCTTCAAGCCCTCCCCATACCACATTGGAGCCACCATCACCACAGAGATGCAGGCTGACTCATAAGGACAGATGGACATAGGGTGTCCTATCCAAAGACCTGTGTGCATCCATCCACCAGAGGATCTGGAGATACAAATGCATAGGATTGCGCACATTCACGGAAGCACACCTATGTTCAGATGCAAGACTCATGGAGCCTATTCACAGATGCTGGCTCATAGACACATGTTCACAGATACCTACACACAGAGCATGCTCACAGGCACACAGACATCCACAGATGTGAACTCACAGATGCACATGCATTCAAGACACACAGATGCAGACTTATAGACACACAGGTACATTCTCAGACGGGTTTGGAGGTCCTAGCACTGACGGGCACAGACACACAAACAGCAGACACAGAGATCTGCCCAGAGAGATGCGCCTACCCCTGCAGCGCACCTTTGCCCGGAACCACGGCTAGCTCCTTGTCTGCACACCGGCCCCGGCAGGCCTCCCCTCAGCTCAGCCTTCCTGGGTTGAGTGCTCTAGGAAACCCCAAGTCCCGCTGACTCCTAGTCCACAGAGACTCATATATGAAAGGTTCTGGGGCTGCAATTAGCTCGGCCGCAGAGGATGGGTAATCTTTCAATCTTGAGAGGTAGTTTAATGCCCACGCTGTCCCAATGGTGGCCCTTAATGTATTCATTCATCCAACAGACAACATGTGCTTTGGTAGGCACTGAGATAGTAAAATAAGTAGAACAGAATTGAGTCCTGGGGACTCCAGGTTTATAGAAACACTTAGCCGTGGTACCAGGGAGAGAAGTAGAGCCACTCTGCCAGTACACAAGGGGTGAGCTCAAGAGGACCAGGGTTCTGATTGTGGTCTTTGCCTACTCACAGGAGACAGTGCCCATGAGCCTTCGTCCCCCACTTCCTGACCAGTGCTGTCCCCCTCTCCAGGGCCATCTTCCAGCCCAGTTGACAGGCATGGTCTCCCTGGTTCTTGATTGCAAATAGCCTGGGCAGACCATGGCAAGCAAGCTTTAGACTCTGACTGTCTCTAGACTTCCAAGAACCGGCAAGAGCATGGGGCACCGGGGCCCCTTTGGATGCCCCTGTGCACACTTATTTGTGCTAAGAAAACCACAGGGGTTCAGAGTGGCATCAAGCCCCTCGCTGATGATTTTAAAGAGAAAAGAAACATAGATCTGTGGCTGGAGAGATGGCTCAGGGGTTAAGAGCACTTGCTGCTCTTGCAGAGGACCCGGGTTCAGTTCCTAGCACCCACATGAAGCCTCACAATCACCTGTAACCAGTTCCAGGGGATCACATGTTCATCTGGCCTTCATAGTCACTGGCTTACATGGGGTGCACCTACCTACATCAGGCACACACACACACACACACACACACACACACACACACACACAAGATTTAAAAAAAAGAAAGAAAGAAAAGAAAATCTTTAAAAAGGAAAGAACCCCAGACCCTTGCTGGAGCCTCGCCTCTCTTGTGCTGATTTACCTGAATGCGGTGATTCTACCGCTGTACCGTAAAGCTGCACCTCAGGGCAGCTAGCTCTCCAAGCACCCAAACTGGGGCTCTTTGGGGTGGGGAGATGTATTGTCCTCCTTCAGGTCAAGGCTAAGGACTGGCCAGGCTTCAGTTCCCAGCATCCTGTGGTCCAGTCATACATCTGCCTAAGCACCCACTTACAGGTCCTGTCAAGGTCACTGGGTCACTCCTACACTTACTACCTGCTGGGTAAGGAAGCCCTTGCTTCTCAGCAGGAGTCTCACTGTCTCCACCCTGTCCCTCCTGCATCCTTCCTTCCCAGTGTGACCACCGTGAGCTGGAACCCCTCCAAGGCCTTGTAGAAGGAGAGTGTGACCCCATCCTTCCTAGTGGCTGGTGGGAATAATCCCAGCTCTAAACATAATTGGTGAGAAGGCCAGCTGGTTCCTAACAGAAAACATTCTAGAATAGTGTACAGAACAGAAAGCTTTTCTGTTGCTTCTAAGAATCAAGGAAAAGGCTAGAACTGGGCTGGCAGGAAGTGTCTTGCTGGGAAGAGTATATCAGAAAGGCTTGAACTTAACATACCAGCTGACTGGTCATAAATGTGCTCAGAAACAGCTGCCTTGCTTAGGAGTAGGTGATGTCCCTTTTAAAATCTTGTTGGGGCCCAGAGACGGCTCAGTGGTTAAGAGCACTTACTGATCTTCCAGAGGACCTGAGTTCTGTTCCCAGCACTCATATTGGGCAATCTGTAACTCTAGCTCCAGGGGATCTGATGCCCTCTTCTGGCCTCTGCTGGATCCTGTACCCATGAACGTGGGCGCGCGCGCGCGCGCGCGCGCGCGCACTCTATCCCCCCCCCTCACTCTCACTCTCACTCTCACTCTCACTCTCTCTCTCTCTCTCTCTCTCACACACACACACAGAGTAAAGTAAAAATTAAAAAAAAAAAACTCATTTTTGGTCACTGTACTGGCTAATTCCTGGTCCAGAGCCAGCCATAAGCATGACAGGAAGCCTGGGTGGGGTGGGGGAAAGAGAGGTTCGATGGGACCAGGGCTTACGCTAGTCGGGATGTTCAGTTTAGAGTCATCAGAGAGGCAGGAACCCCAGTTGAGAAAATGCCTTCATAAGATTGGTCTGTAGACAAACCTGTAGGGCACTTTCTTAATTAGTGATTGCTAGAGGAGGGCCCAGCCCATGGTGGGTTATGCCACCCCTGGGCTGGTGGTTCTGAGTTCTATAAGAAAGCAGGACGAACAAGCTTGAGAGCAAGCCAGTAAGCAGCACCCTCCATGGCCTCTGCATCAGCTCCTGCCTCCAGGCTCCAGCCCTGAGCAAGTTCCCATCCTGACTTCCCTTAGTGATAGACTGTTAGTTACCTGAAAGTGTGAGCTGAATAAACCCTTTAAATTGCTTTTGGTCACAGTGTTTCATTACAGCAGTAGGAACCCTAACTAAGACAGCTAGCGAGATGGTTTACCAGGTAAATACAGTCCTAACAACCTAAGTTTGATCCCTACCCACAGCAGAAGGCGCAGTCACCTCTTAAAAGTTGTCCTCTAACCTCCACCCATGCACAGGTGTGCCCTGTGGTATACACACACACACACACACACACACACACACACAAACACTAATAATTACTAATATTTTTATTTAAAACCCACAGTTAATTTGCTTTGAGTACTTTATTTGGGGATAGAATCAAGGAAGCCAGCATTTTAAAGACTATTAAAATCCTGAATTTCCCCAGCACTCGGGAGTCAGAGCCAGGGGGATCTCTGTGAGTTCAAGGCTAGCCTGGGCTACAGAGTGAGTTCCAGGAAAGGCACAAAGCTACACAGAGAAACTCTGTCTCGAATAAACCCCCCCCCCCAAAAAAAAACCTGAAATCCTGGTATCAATCATTATATCAGTACAGCCTGTTTCAAAGCCACCTATTCAATGCTGTTTTTTTCCCTTCCAGATTGTTCTCTGGGGCAGGACTGAGAAATGCCTGAAAGAGACAACAGAAGAGATTCGGCAGATGGGCACAGAGTGCCACTACTTCATCTGTGATGTAGGCAACCGGGAAGAGGTGTACCAAATGGCCAAAGCTGTCCGAGAAAAGGTGAGTAGCCTGGGCGTGTCTGGCCCCAGCCTACGGAATTCATGCATCCTGGGAGGAGGGAGTGTTGCTATGGCAGACTGACTCTGTGCAGGGCCCCTTTGGGGACTCTCCACGAAGCTTGTCCAAGTTACTTGGGTAGGGACTGGAGTTGATAACACAAAAAGAGCAGACCTCTGTGGTCCCTTGGACATTTAGACCCTACAAGTTTCTCTAAAAGACAAATGTCCCATTGCCTTCTGGGAAAATCCTTTCCTTAATCCAAAACATTTGGGCTGGGTAGATCAATGAGCTCCAAGAGAGAAAGAAGAATTCACCCTATTACATAGCCCACTCATGGTAACATTAACCATTTTTATGTGACCATAACTTCATTTATTATAAATACGCTGCATTCCGGGTATAGTATGTACCATAAATTATTTCTAATCCTCAGACACAGCTGGTATGGCACCAGCGCCGTTTATAAACAAGACTGATGCTCAGAAAGGCCATGTGGCTGGTGGTTGCGGAGCCTGGTCTGTGCCCCCACAGGGACAGCCCACAGGGACTGGCTGCCCTCACGGCTCCACAGCCCCCTCTTGCCCACAGGTGGGTGACATCACCATCCTGGTGAACAATGCCGCTGTGGTCCATGGGAAGAGCTTGATGGACAGTGATGATGATGCCCTCCTCAAGTCCCAGCACGTCAACACCCTGGGCCAATTCTGGGTAAGGGCTTTCCTGGTCCAGAGCCAGCCATAAGCGTGACAGGAAGCCTGGGTGGGGTGAGGGAAAGAGAGGCTCAAGGGGACCAGGGCTTACGCTAGCCGGGATGTTCAGTGGCAAAGCAGCTAGCTAAAAGGAGTGACTGACAGGGAGACGCAGGAACTGCTGACTGGCCAGCATGGTGATCTGCAGCAGGGAGGCCTCAGCCCCTCCAGACTGAGGACTAAGTCACTAGGGTAGCTGTGCGCCTTGAGCGGGCTGTTCTCCCCAGTGCAGGGGTGCTGGGCTCGGCAGAGGCTCTGCCGCTCCACACTGACTTCTGTTCCCCACCCTCAGACCACCAAGGCCTTCTTGCCACGTATGCTGGAGCTGCAGAACGGCCACATCGTGTGCCTCAACTCCGTGCTTGCACTCTCGGCCATCCCTGGCGCCATCGACTACTGCACGTCGAAAGCGTCGGCCTTTGCCTTCATGGAGAGCCTGACCTTGGGGCTGCTGGACTGTCCCGGTGTCAAGGCCACCACCGTGCTGCCTTTTCATACCAGCACCGAGATGTTCCAGGGCATGCGCGTCAGGTCAGTGGGTGAGACCAGCCACCTCGCCCGAGCCAACCCAGCCGGCGGTCCTCACAGGAAGAGCCCCAGAATTCCGTGGCCTCGTCTCGCTCTCAGAGCTCCTTTTCCACTCACAAGGCAGCAGGATACTACTGCACCCGTATCCGTTACTCTTCCAGCTCTAAGGAAGGAGGAGAGGCTTTTTTGAGGGTCACAATAAGAGGGTACAGTCTGTCCTGGTAGGAAGTCACAGTGGCAGGAGCGTGAGGCAGCTGGTCACATCACATCCACAGTCCAGAAGCAAAAAGAGGGAGAGACACACGAAGGCTGTTGCTCAGCTCGCTCTCTCCATTTTATTCAGTCCAAGACCGGCTACCCACATTTAGAATCCTGCTTCTTTCTACAGGGGCTTACACAAAACACCAGTACTGAATGTGCACAGTGGAGTACTACCCAACAACAAAACAGGAAATGAGTGATATGTGACCTGAATAACGAAGCTCATATCCAAAACGCTAAGTGAAAGACGCCACACTAGCACATTCTGCACAGTCCCATGTACATGGCATTCTGAACCAGGCAAAACTATGGTGCTAGAGACAGGGTCAACGGTATAGAGCCTGGAAGAGAGCCCGAGGAAACTCGGTGGTGGTGGCAGCGGTGGTAGTGGTGGTGGTGAAACAAGCGAAAGTTAATTGAGCTGTATGCTGAAGGTATGAGCCTTTTATAGAGCCAGGACTGGTGAGGTGGCTCAGTCAGTAAAGGTGCTTGCTACCAAGCCTGACAATCTTGAGTTTGATCCCTGGGACCCACATGGTGGAAAGAGAAAACTGACTCCAGCAAGGTGCCCTCTGACCACCACATGCATTCTGTGACACATGTGCACCCACACATACACACAGTGTGCACACAAGCACACACCACACATACGCATACACACACACACACCAATAATTTTTTAATTAATAAATACAAATTATAGCCCCATGTGAAGAAACCCCGAAGCCCACTACTCAAGCCTCTTGCAGACCCATCTTATGTAGGGAAATGTGACCTCGGGCTTAGTGTTCATGCTTGAATGTCAGGACCTGGGGGGGCATCATGCTATAGCTATGATGTGCCATGTGATGCCAGGCTTCATTGCCAGTCTTTAAAATGAGGTGATCACAGGCAATAAATGGCATTGATAGGGAACATTGTATCACTACAAAGCACACACCCAATTTAGGGGAAGATTTGTTGCCTCTCAGAGCTGTGCTCATCTATAAAATGGCAGGAGTGGTATCTATCTGGTAGATTGCTGGTAAAATGAGGAATAATAATGATTGTAGCATACCCAGCACAAATCCTAGGACACACAAGTTGCTCATAAAAGAGATGCTTCCCCTGTTATTTTAATTTTTGAGACAGGGTCTCATCTGTAGCCCAGGATGGCCTTCAATTCATGGTGATCTCTTGCCTCAGTCCCTGGAGTGCTTGGGATCCTAACACTACTCCCAGCTGTTATTTTTACCAAGAGTAAACATGGTCTTAGATGAGTTTTACTAGTTTTCGTAGAAGACAGTCTCTTTAGAGTTTATCAAGAAGTAGATATTTCTACTTGGCTTGCTAACAAATGAGCATACATTCTCAATTTCAAGGGGGTTGTACTCATGACTATACCAATGTCCTGGGATCGAATCCTAGTTCTGTGTAACCTCCATCAGGTGACTTGACTTTCCTGTGCCTCAGTTTCCCTGTTTATATATTTAAAACTGGTTGCTGATAGCACCTCCTACTTCACACATTGGGGGAAGGCCTGTGTGAGAACTGACTGGCTGTGCCTGCTTCGCGAGCACTAAGCGGATGCCAGCCATCTGCAGCTGTGTGTGCAGGTGAGAGCCAAGGGCTTGGCCAGAAGACCTCTGCTTAACCAGCTCCTATTTATTGAAAGAAAGATGAAAAAAGAAAAGCCTGCAGCCATGTCAGCAATTTCCCGGGGGTGATGATCAGGTCAGGACAGACCAGGCGGGCACCCAGCAAGACTGGCTGTATCCGTGGGTGCCGCTGTTCTCGGGTACTGACTTATCCTGTATTCCAGTCACTCCAGACACTGCCCTTCCCACTACAGTGCTGTTGCTAGAAACCCATTCCACAGATAGAGGAAGTGAGTGTCAGAGAGAAGTCATCTGTATGAGGCAGCCCAGCTGTAATTGGGCCAGCTGAGCAGGCTTCAGGCTTCTCCGGCCACTTCCCAGCATCCTTCGTTGTCATCCACTATTGAGAGAAAGAGGGAAATCTTAACAGGTTTGAAGCCTCTCCATCGGCTCCTTCTGCAGGGGTCTTACCTGGGAGGGTCCTCTAAAGCCCATACAGCTGGGACTTGCTGTCCTATCTCCTCTCCTCCTAGAGACAGTGCTGGACATTATAGAGATACCACCCTGTCACTGGAGTTGATCTCTGTGAAAACCCCAAGGCCAGCCCTTCTAGGCCACAGGTTCACTATCTGAGAATCGCTCACTATCTTGGCCTGGGAAGAAAACCTAGTCAACAAAGTTTGGTCTCCGGAACCCACGTTTATAAAAATCCAGGCAAAGGTGGCGTGCACCCATCATCCTAGCACTGCAGAGGCAGATAGGCAAATCCTTGGGCTTGTTGACCCATCAGGCTAGCCAAGTTGGTGAGCTCCAGGCCAATGAGAGACCCCGTCTTTAAAAAAAAAAAAAAAGTGGATGACTCCTGAGGAATGATACCAAACGTTGACCTCTGCCCTCTACACATGTGCATAGCATGTGCCTGCACACACATAGACACTCGTGCATAGACAAACCAAAGCTGCCCTTGTCACATAACTGAGGAAGTACGGGGGCGGGGGAGGGGGAGGGGGCGAGTACAGCAGTCTGTGAGCCCCAAGGCTGCCCCTTGCTCAGGAATGGCATGATGACTGATGACTGACTACCCTTAATCCTACTGGTACCACAGTGAATCATAGCCCTTTGAGGGCCAGCAGCACATGCCCTGTGCCTTCAGACTGAGGAAGGCAGGAAGAGCCAGAAACAGAGTCGTTAGAGTAGTGCTAGGAGCTACACACACACACACACACACACCTTCCTTATCCGTAAACTGGAGAGAATATTTGTGCATGGGCCCGATACACAATGGGTACACAGGTCTGGGGTCAGATGCCTCGGAATAGGCATGGGAAGCCCCTGTTGTGTGAGTATTTGCCGGCTTGTTCATCTGGAAGTCCCATGGAAAACCACTCTGTTTGACTGACAGGCTAGTGAACCAGCAGGCTGAGGACCTCCCCAGGCAGAAAGGCCCAGTAGAGGAGTAGGGCAAAAGGACAAGTATTTATTGAGCACCTACTGTGTACCAGGGCCTACTAGATGCTGAGGATGCAACAGGGGGTGAGATTCATTGGGCCTCCTCCCTCAGAGAACTCATAACCTGATGGAGGAGACAGGCCATTGGCAAAGAACAACCTGACAAGCCAGGTCATTCTAGATGTGGTTGTGGTTAGGCAGCTAGACAGGAGGTAAGATCTAAGGCCACCCTGCACTGTGGGAGGCTGGACAGTCTCTCAGGGGAGGACCCAGGAGGAGTGAGCAGGCTGTGGGAATGGCTGATGAGGCAAGATGGTATAGTAAGAAAGACTGAGGGCTGGCCCATGCTGTAGAGTGTGGAGGAAGTCCAATGTGAGTACCAGGAGCCCTGGCAGATTTTGGAGAATGAGCCCGGCAGGGTGGACTCTTAATTCCTTGATTCTTTCAGAGATACCCCCTGCTAGTGGGCAGACTCCACTCACATGGTGGGGCAGGATGGAGCAGGATCGAGGGACTCTTAACAGGCATGGACTAGGAGAGAATCCCCACAGCCTCGAGTCCCTCATTCAGAAGAGCCAAAGTGATGCCCTCAGAAACGTTAGCCACTCACAAAGGTGCCCGGCAGAAAGGCCAATTTCTCCTTGAGAAACCAATATTTTCCTGCCTTCAGGTTTCCCAACCTCTTCCCGCCGTTGAAGCCAGAGACAGTAGCCCGGAGGACGGTGGAAGCCGTTCAACAAAACCAGGCCCTTCTCTTGCTCCCGTGGACCATGAACATCCTCATTATCTTGAAAAGGTATGGGATGGGGAGAGAGAGTTCTTCACCAGGTTCAGGTCCAGCTTTTTCCTTTACTCCAGTGGGTCCTAATGGGGAAAAGGCAACAGGCAGGAGAAAGTGAATGTGAAATCGATTAGTCATGTCTGCTGAGGGCAGGAGGTAGACTGTACTGACCCGTGAGGCAGAATTGTTAGTCTAAGGATCTTTTATTTCTTAATATTTCTGAGGCAGAGCCCACTGTAGCTCAGGCTTATCTGGAACATACTATGAATCCTAAACTGGCCTTGAACTTGTAATTCTCCTGTCTCTCTAATATTGGGATTATAAGCATGCACTACTGTGCCTGGTTTAAAAATTATAAGGGATCCAAACAGCTCTTGCTCATGTGAGTTTTATCTGTCACTACTTACTTCATTAGAAATTAAAACTGGGAGGGGAAATTAGATTTACACACTAGTTTCTAGTTAGTTTTTTTTTCATTTATAAAGAGCAATAACAACTATTAAATTATCATAACTGCCTTGTTTGTTTGCTTGCCTTTTTAGTTTTTTTAGACAGCCTCTCACTAGGTATCCCAATCTAGCCTCAACTCCTAAATCTATTTTTGCAACAAGCAATTCTTTTTCTAAAACAACACAGACACGTAGCCAGGGGAGGCACTGGCTTACGTTCTTGCAAATCTCTCCATTGTCTGGTTTAATCTGAAACAACTAGATTCCTACATCTGCGTCTTAGTTCAGTCAATTGGGATAGTCCCCTGCAACAAACCTCAGGGAAACTGCACTGCACATGCAGAGAAATAAAGGATAAAAGACAAATGATGGGCCCGGGATGTGGCTCAGTGGGTAGAGAGCCTGCCTGGCACGTATGAAGCCCTGGGATCCGTCCTCAGTGCTGCATAAACCAGGTGTGGTGGTTCCTGCCGGTAATCCCTGCGTGTGGGAGGTAGAGGCAGGAGGATCAGAAGTGTGAGGTTAGCCCCAGCTATATAGTCAGTTTGAGGCTAGCCTGGGTGATTTTTTTTTTAAAGACCCTGCCAAGAAAGAGAGAGAGAGAAAAAAAAAGGAAACAGGAAGGGAAGACAGAAAGGAAGAAAGAGAAAAATAAGCTATACTGCAGTGTTAATATAAATATCCTAGAGAGAGAGATCTCTGGCACCCCCAAGAGTGCCTGGACCACATTCTTAAGACCCACTGCTCTGCAGTCAGGCAGGCATAGCCCAGCTCCCAGATAGCTCAGTCTAGTGACAACAGGAGTTTCCATGCCGAAGGCCCAGAGTCTGGAGAAGTGTCATAGCTCTAATGAGGTGGCGTTTAAAGACCACCTTGGGAGGTGGGCTTTTCATACTGGAGATATTTTCTCCTCTAGAATTTTCCCAGTACTGATCCACCTAGAACTGTCTAGACTCATTACATCTGGGTCCCATGCTGAAGGGGCTAGTTAGTACATGTGGCTCAGTGTGCTCTCCATACAGGCAGAGCTGTGTCCCTGCAGCCATGACTCTGGCTCCTGCTTGTCAGGAAGTACAGCCCCTTGTTCCAGGCTCACCCTGTTGTTATCAGCAACCATTGACTCCCAGGAAAGCCACACCCTTGTGTGACTCAGGGAACAATGGCAACCGGCCCTTTGTCTTCCATTCTGATATCCTCTGTGCACGCAGAGGGTGGAGAGTGGAGAGCAGAAGAGGGGGCATTTGGAGCATTCACGTACCCCAGCATACCCTGCCCTCCAATCCATGATGCTCTCTGACTGCCTGAGGGATCCCCTAAAAGAACAGGCCCCCTGCTGGGGGGCGATGGCTCAGATGGTAAAGTACTTTCTATGTGAGTGTGAGAATCTGGATTTGACCCCCAACACCCATGTTTGACCTTCATGTGTGCACTGCAGCAGGTGAGCATGCACACAGAGACAGACAGACAGACAAAGAGACTGATTGCTTTAAAAGAGGGCCGGAGAGATGGCCAGCAGTTAAAAAACACTTGCTGTTCTTGCAGAAGACCAGAGTTCAGTTCCCAGCACCCACATCAGGCAGCTTACAACCTCCTGTTAACTCCGGTTTCAGGGATCTAATGCCCTCTTCTGGTCTCAGTAAGCAACTGCACTCAAATGTACAAACTGGCATCCATACATCCACATAATTAAAAATAAAACAAGACTTAAAAAAAAACCCACAGAAGCGCATGTGTTTGGGGTTCTGGAGGCTAAGAGCATGGCATAGCATCTGGCAAGGGCCTTCTTGCTGCCTCATGACAGGATGGGGCGGTCTGTCTCTCCCCCCACCCCATACAGGACAGAGCAAGTGTGCCCAGGGAGCTTGCTTTAGTAGTCGAGTCACTCAGACTGTCCACTAATCCATGACTGGGTGGATCCCCTCATGCCCCAGCCATCTCTGTCTCACCACAAAGACAGTCAAGTTTCAGCTTGCATCTTGGAAGGGCCGGAGCACATCGAAGGCACACCAGATACCGAGAGCACAGTCCGTCTGTTTTCCTATGCTTGGCCCTTTACCTAATGAAAGTGCTAATTCTTGGAGTTCAGGGGCTGATTTTGGAAGGGGAGCCAGTGTATGGGTTGCAGGGGAGCCAGGAGAGCTTCTGAAACCGTTGTCTACTACCCTGTTTGGCATTGCCCCACGGACCCCACCACTGCCGCCTACCTGACTAACCATCTGCCCTTCCCCCCCCCCCAGCATACTCCCACAGGCTGCACTGGAGGAGATCCACAGGTTCTCAGGGACTTACACCTGTATGAACACCTTTAAGGGGAGGACATAGAGGCAGGAGGAAGACACACCTGAGGAGCCACGGAGCCTGAGGGGAGCCACAATATCCGGGCACACACCGATGTGCCTGTGCATTGGCATGTCTGCTGGGTGAGCAGGACTGTACCTGTCCCCAGGGAAGAATCTGCGGCTCCCAGGTCAACTCCAGGACCTTTGTGCAGGACTGATGTGTGTAACTCTGACCCCCATGGGGAGCCAAGACGCCATTCAGCAGCCACCTGACAATTTTGTACATTTCTCATTCTGTAGGGTTTATTGTTCAATTGCTTCTCCAGTCTGACCCGCCTGAGCAGTGTGCACCTAGGATTTCCAGGAGAGTCTGCCCCCAGACACTCTGCCTTTCCCTCCAAAACCCGCTCACCCTCAGCTCCTGCAAACTGGTTACCCGGCAGTAACGCAAATAAAGAGGTGGCTTTGGCAGCTTCTTTTGTTCACGTCCTTGGGAGGGGGTGCAGCTGGGAAGGAGCCTGTCCCAACCACAAAGAGAAAAAAAGGGTCATCTCAGGGTCTACAGAGAGCAGGAAAGGGACTACAGCCCAGCCCAAGGAGAGAGGGGTCGGGGAGGCCCCTCCAGACACATGGCTTCCCTGGTAGGATCCCTGAGAGCTAGTCCATGGAAGAACTCACCGCAGCTAGAACACTGTCTGTCCTTCCTTGACCCCACTGGGCCACCAACTTAAAGTCAGCCTTTACTGAGTACCTGCTGTCCACCCCACATGAAGAAGCCAAGGTGATACCAGCAGACCATACCGTTCGTCGCTTAGGCCAGCACTGTGGGGTGCTACAGACCCCACAGCACATCTAACTGTGGGGCATGGGAAAGCCCAGAGAATGGAAGGAGCTAGTGTGGTCTCAAGCAAGGGTAGAGGTGCCTGCCCATGGTTCTCTAATGTGACTCTCATGCTGAGAAAATTCAGTCAATGACACTGGTCAGTGTAGAACAAGGAGCAACGTGACCTGCTAGGAATAGCATCCATCTGTACAGCTTTTGCAGGTGAGCGGCAGGGAGCAGGCAAGGGTTCCCCAGAGAGAAGGAGAAGGGCCCAGGCCTCTGACATAGTGGGGAGCTTCCTTGAAAGCCTCACCAAGGCCATATAGACCTGAGCACCTCAGGCTGGACCTGAACTCATGCTCACAACAAGGAGAATGAGATGACTCAAGTGAAAACAGACTGGTCTGCAAGGGAAACACTAGGTGTCTGGTGCTTGTGGAGAACTGACTTAGAATGCTTAGGGCGTTGTCGACCTAAGACATGGTGTTTGCATTGTGTCAGTCACCAGCTCTCCCTGCAGCTCCTGAAGACAAAACCCAAACCAAACCAAAACACAGCTCAGAGTGACCACTTTAAACAGTCTAACCACTTGGCGGTGAGTGTCAGCTAGATATGACCCCCAGATCACCATGGCTTCCAACAGGGAAAGTGTCTGCCCTGCAACCTCAACTTATTCATGAAAACATCTTCCCTCTGAGCAGCCACTACCCAAGATGGAAGTGTCCCAGGGAGTAAATGTGAGTTGGTCCACCAGCATCAGACCCTCTTCAGTTCTCCCTGGAAATAAGTGTGTGTCGCTTGCATTCCCATTTTACTGGCCAGGTCTGGTCATGTGATCATGCCTGCCAAAGATCCTGGGATTCTGAATACAATGATCACATGGGCTGCCAAGCCATGGAAGAAGACTTCACCAGGAAAAGTTAGAACTGAAGCCAGGGATGGAGAGAAGCCAACTCAAGGATGGAGTAGCCCAGGAGCCCATGTTGGTGCTGAGCAGTCCCTGTGGAGGCAAATGCCTGGCTCTCTTCCCAAGCACCCTTCCAAAGGGAGCATTTGGAAGCTTGGTCCACAGATGAGAAGATGCATTCAGAGCAGGATGTGGGCTTGGCCTGGGTCAGAATTTGAGCACAGCTCTGACTCCTGGTTTTTCATGACACCAGACAGTTTCAAGCAACAAGGAGTCAAGGTCGGCTCATCTATCATCTTCCTTTTGGCCCTTATGGACAGGTGTCTCCAATGTGTGGGATGTTACTACCCGCTTCAGCCCCCTGTGGTGTCTGGACAATCTCCCAAGGCAGGTGCCTGTGGCTGGCTCTTCCAGGGAGAGACTGGGGGTGGGTCCATCTTGGGGAACAGAGAGAAGTGAGTGGGGCAAGGCGGGGTCTTGCCTGCTGAGACTCAGTTTCCCGGACCATCTCTGAGCAGCTGATGTATTTCTGTGCTCATCGCCTGCCTGCAGGCCAATCTTTTAAAGATGCTTTGATCATTGGGGTCTCCACTGGCCTTTAAACTAGAAATGCAGTGAGGATCTCAGGGGAATATGATGGGATGCTGGGATCAGCAATGCCCAGTCAACCTTTCCCAAGACCCACCAAGCATGATCACTGCCTTGGTTACAGGGTGATCTCTGGGTTTCCCAGAATGCAAACGGTTTCTCCTGGTGGTAGCATAAAGCCTGGTCCTCCCACAACAATACACACACAACCAGCACCCCGCTTTTTTTTTTTTTTTTTTTTTTGGATTGCTTCCCAGAGGAACCAGGGAAAAGGCCTTGGGCATATTCCCAGGAAACCTCTCTGGTCCCTCACTGGAATGGTTTGACTGCCTGGAGAGCTTCAAGAGTGAGAGTGGAGAGCTAATTCTGTCCCTTTGCTTGTCCAAGTGAAGGAGGGTGACAACGCCAGCCCCCTGAGGGGCGTAACAGGCTGTGCCAACCCTGCAAAGAAGCCTTGGGTCCTGGGAAATGACCCAGTTGCCAGGCTGAAGGTTCCTCCCCAACCCCAGAGAGAAGCAGATCGGGGGTGGGTGCCAAGTCCAGGGAGGCCTCAGACCTCAGCCCTCACTGGCCCTGGTCCAGGGGAGCAGGCTGGCTGGCTGGCTGGACCAGTGGTTAGGAATTCAGTCCTGTGGGCACCAGTAGTTCCCAGGGACCGAATACTTGAGAAACTGACTCTCCCAGAAACAAGCCGATGTCTAAAGGGACCAGGTAACAGAAAGCTCCAGAGCTGTCTCCAGGAGCCGCTACTGGGCCCCTACCCGTCCTACCTTAGAGCCCCATCCCAAGAGAGGCAGCTTTCACCTTTGAGATGTTCCTGTCCTATGGAAGACAAAAAGAACCCAGGCCACAAGGCACAGGAGCGGAGGTCCTCAAAGAACAGCTGCGTGGCTGGGAAAGGAGAGGGGAGACCATGGCCCATGTGGGACCCCTCCCCTGAAGAGCATCTTTCTGATTCTCAGGGTTTGGGTCAGAATTAAGAGCCCAGAGGTCTTCTCTACACACACCCCTTGCTTCAGGCAAAGCCAAAAGGCGACAAATATCTGCTGATGCAGAAGGAAGGGCTGGAACTGCTCCCAGACACATCTTACTAAGCTCCCAAACATTCCTCGGGTCTTGGAGTGCGGTTCAGTTGGTGGAGTCTTGTCTAGCCCTGGGCTTGAGCCCCAATACCGCAAAAAACCCGGCTTGGTACATGCTTTTATTTCTAGCACTTGAGAGACGGAAGCAAGAGAATCAAAAGTTCAAGGCTATCCTCAGCTACATAAAGAGCTTGAAGCCAGCCTGGGATACAGGAAACCCTGTATCAAAACCACAATCAAAAA